CATGAACTGGCAAATGTCATTTGGCAAATGCCACAGCAATTGGATATTTACACTACAACACAATGAGACATGAAGTGCAAAAACTTTGGTCTCCAGAATTGTGATCCAGGGCTCAAACCACTATATCACACTGGCTTTCCCTGATAGGCAATTGCAGCCAAAAGAAATGGCAAAGAGTCTTGTGACACTTTAAAGACTACCCAATTTATTATATGGCATATCAGTGCAATATTTCTCCATGAGAGAGTGGGTTATTTAAAGGAAACATATACTCTTCCATACACGGACAAAACCATTTCTCAATTCTGGTGATGGATCATTTGCTTTGGGAACTGAACGCTCCTTTTAGGAAGCGGACACACACGTATGTACGTGTGTGTGAATAAGAAAGCTTATTTTTTAATTATTCTGTTTGATTGATTCATATTTCAAAATCAGAGAGTCAAGGTGTCTTCTACGGCCAAGGGTGAATGAAACATGGCAGCAGGAGGGAAAATGTCATTTGGCAAATGAATTTTTTATTTGGCAAATCAATTTTTTATTTGGCAAATGAATTTTTTATTAGGCGAACAAATTCCAAAAGGCAGGACAATCCCTTCCTCAAAGAGTCCATGTGTTTGCAATGCGTCTGCATGTGCTTTCAAATCTCCTGTTGACTTATGGCGACGCTCATGAATTTCATAGATTTTTCTTAGCCAAGCAATTCTCAGAGCTGATTTTGCTAATTCCTTCCTCTGAAATATAGCCTACAGCACCTGGGATTCATCGGCGGTCCCCCATCCAAGTACTAACCAGACCTGATCCTGTTTACCTTCCAAGATCAGACAGGATCTGGTGTTAAATAAAATATAGTGGAGGAAAAAATGTCACTTGGCAAATGAAATTTTCATCTGGTGAATGAAACCCCAACCAGGACAAGTTCTGCTTTGATAAATGGGTTCAGAAGTTATCGTACCTCAATCTTGGACCCATTTTAGAGAAATACAGGTGGACACATCATTATGTGACCAGTTGTTTTGAGCAGTTTCTCAGGGAAAGAAATCTATGTTGATTATTCAAATCAAAATAAATTAAATGAAAATGCACACAGCTTCTCCCAGGAATCCTTGCCACTGATCGATCTGTGTGACACGACAAAAAAATCCAAGCAGTTGGGACTAATATCAGTGGCGCTGAAAAACTGCTCCAGCTTTTGGTCTGAAAAACCAGCTCCTTGGGAAGCTCCATTAAACGTTTCAACCAAAACCTGGAGCAGAACAACTGTACCATCTTCCAAATGTTTCCAAGAAGAAAAGAAGAGTAGCAAGGGGTTTAGATGGCTATGTTGCTGTGTGCCTTCAAGTTGTTTCAAACTTACAGCAACCACTTGAAGGAACACAACAAGAGGACAGTCTATGCTTTGCTATTCTTATTTTTCTTCTTTGAAACTCTATGGAAGCCGGTAACTTGCTGTTCAGTTCTGACAAATGAACATCTCTGGACTGGATCTATTGTTACTGAATAAAGGTTAATTGCGTTTTAACTGCTAACGCCTGGATTTCCTAACTTAGTGTCTTGCTGGACTTGACGCCAGGAAGGACCAGATTTATTTCAGAGGAAGGAACTGGCAAAACCACATCTAAGTATTCTTTGTCTACAAAAACCCTATGAAAACCATGGAGTCACCATAAGTCAACAGGAGACTTGAAGGCATGTACACATAAACTCTCATACATACACACAATAGACTGGTTCGCCTTTCCTCCGAAATGTTTAAAACAGTTGGTTGGCATTTTTTGCTGTGCTCTGAGATTGGCATTTTTGGGGTATCTGCATGCAATGGTTGGCATTTTTTGATGAGCTCTGAGATTGGCATTTT